GTTCTAGACTCCTCTAAGTAGGTCTACTTTATCTATGCTTAGTATTGCTGCATATGCAAGCAAGATTACGTAGGTGCATGCGTAATTGTATACGTCAGCATCTTACAGAGTAGGCTACTCTATTTGTAAGCAGAGGGTCTAGAACATCTCTAGTTACTAAAAATAGAGAACAGCATATCTTAAGAACGAGAGGAGATACAGGCTTCGTAAGCACACCATTTTAATCCTCTCTTCTTAGAGATTACAATAGTAATGCTTAGGTAAGCATAGCGCTATACCTAAGAAGGAAATACGCTAGAGAAAGATTATAAGAACAAAGTCTTATAACTTTACAAATAGTTATTAGGAAGCCCTTAGTTAGGAGATTTTAGCACAAAGTCTTGCAACTTCTTTTGCTAGGTCTATCTTATCTAAGTCTAAATCTACTTCTTAATTACTTCTAGCCGCATTCTTTGCTACTAAGGTTTAATTAGGGGGTAGTTTAGAGGCCTTATTTGCTATGCTCTAAACTTAGGCTAATCTTCTTATAGGTTCCTTAGAACTAGGGGTGTTGCTGCCTAATATTAGTATTATCTCTAATTTAGGTAGGTTGTTAGTAGTCTCCTAGTCTCTACCTTAGCGCTATCTAACGTGTCTTTTCTAAAGTAATCTAGACGTAATTATCTTAGAAGTTCTAAACCTAAAGGCTTTAGTTATTAGGAGATCTCTAGTATCCTAACTATAGCTAAATGCTAGATGTAATAGTGTGTAGTAAATTAACTCTAATTCTACTAGGTTCTTAGGCGTAATCTAAAACAAACAAGTTACAATATTATTTAGAGGCTGTCACTAGCTAGGACGAGTTTTTCTGTATAATGTAACAACGCAGGCAAGAAGAGAGATATCCAGTATAGGTGTGAATCCGCTACGAGGTATATAGGAGTGCTAGGATGATAAGAACACTAGGATATATTCTCTACACCTATAGGTCTTGTACAAAAGGATACAGAAAAACTACTCTATAATACTACAGTTCCTTGCTCCTTATATATAAGGGTTTAGTAGTAGTTTAGTGTGAGCTTATGCCATGCGACAAGGGCCATGGTCATAAGTCGCTAGAACCGTATCCTAGTGGTATCGGGTCACTGTTCGTAGAGCGTTGTTACAAACACCAGCAAAGCGCATGCGCGACACTCAACGCGTAATGTCTCAACAACCACAACCTCACAAGCCCTATACTGAAGCTGACGTGCAGCTTGCCCTCTCTAACATTAAATGCAACTAGATTACAAGCCTATAACGTGCTAAGGCAGGCTACAGCGTTCCTTGTAGGACAATATAACAACAATATAATAGGAAGCCCTCTAGACGCAACTGCAAGCCTAGATTAAAGCGCCTAACAAAGCTAGAAGAGGAGGTAATTCTGCAGCGTATACTTAATAAGAACCTACGTAGAGTACCACCCTTAAGCTACACGTACAAGATATGGCTGATAGACTGCTGCGCAACTGCAGCAGTAAGCCTGTTAGTAAATGCTAGGTTAACAGGTTTATTAAGCGTACACCTAAGCTACGCACGTGCTAGACTTGTCTATACAATTACTAGCAAGCTCTCTATAAAGACCTAGCAATTATTAAGCCCTAGTTTACGCTAGTTTAGAATATAAAGGCAAAGTATAGTATTATAGACAATAATATAAATAACTTTAACAAGTCTAGCTTCCTAATAGGTAAGATATCTTTATAACTTATTATAATAGGCATAGAGAAACCTAGGAAAGTAAAGAAGCTTTAGCCTAGTAATTATAAGTAGACTATGTTAATACAGGGTGTTAGCGCAATAGGGCGTGTTATCCTACCCTTCCTTATCTTTGCTAGTAAGGTTCTTATCTCTAACTAGTTTACTAAGGACCTCCTACGCAATTAGGTTATTTAAGTAAGCCTAACAGGCTAGACAAACAACAATCTAGCGCTTGCCTAGCTTAATAACTTTAATACACATGCAAGGCCTGTAGGAGCGTATAGGCTGATAATTATTAACAGCCACAAGAGCTATTACTTAATAGATTTCTAGGATTGCTGCAAGGAGAAGAAGATTATTGCCCTCTATATGCCTCTACACTTGTTGCACCTCCTGTAGATGCTTAACGTCGCCTGTTTCTTGCTATTAAAGTACATGTATAGTAATTAGATCTTAGCCTTAGTATATAATTATATTAACTATATTAGCAAATAGATATTCTTACTAGCCTTTAAAGTAGCTTTTAAGAAGGTGTTTACAAGGGAGAATGCTTGCGCAGGGTTTTAAGGCGCTAGATTGTCTCTACATAATCTACAGGCTGTGTTATTAAAGCTAAATGTGCAGCTGCGTACGCAAACTCTACCACAGCAAGTTAACACTGCTTAGGAGGCAAAAACACCACACAACACTAAAGAAATAGAGGTGCAATAAACACTAGTTTAAAACAGGATAAAAATCTATTAAGTGTCTCTAGTAAATTTACTTAATAAGTAGGTGTAGTAGCTAATAAAAGGCGCGTAGTAGATAGCTTATAAGATAGTATTAATACGCACAGAGATAGTGCGCCTTAATACTACTACTAAAGCAGTAACAAAGTATAAAAGTTGCAAGAGACGCTACGTACAGGCAGAGGAGACATTAATAGTTAGCAAGGTATTAGAATTAATTACTAAAAGGGAGGGTGGCAGATATAAGGACAGTAAGGAGCTAGCAAAGAGGGTGCGCGCAGGGCAACACTACAGCTCTTGCAGTGAGATTAGGCACAACTCTTGCACCTATAAGGTAGAAATTAAGGATATAAATAATAGTAACGCTTCTAAATAATACTATACTATTGTAAGAGTACAAAATTTGTGTTGTGGTGCTAAGCTACGTCGCTGCGCGTACGCCTCGCTGGTGTTCGTGGGGCGCTCACTGAGGTGGGGCGCTCACCGATAAAACAGGTTATAAAAGAAAGTAATTATAGTAAAAAGGGACACTAATATTTGCTAAGGGAGTGTAGCTAACTACTCTAAAAGAGTTTAAGGCCTATAGTAAAAGGAAGAAGGTAAAGAAGAGGTTGTGTGTTAATAGGAGCACTTAGTCTTTTAGGCACTGTAGCACATGTAGCAAGACAGGTCATAACGCGCAAATATACAGTAAAGATATACAGAGTACTATAGATTAGTTTAATATACTGTGTACCGTGCTTCACAAGCGAGCGGCGCACCCAAGCGAGCGGCGCACTCTCCCCACCAAAACGCTTGCGCAGCGACAACACGTAATGCCTCAACAACACCAAACCCAGAGACTCTATACTGAAGCTGACGTACAGCTTGCTATCTTAGATCTTTAAGAAGAGCAGATTAAGAGTATACAGCTTACTAAGAAAGTCTATAAGGTCCCTTAAATTACAATACAATAATAATATAATAGAACACACTCTTAATATAATTATAAGCTAAAATTAAAACGCCTTATAAAGCTAGAAGAGGAGGCAATTATACAGCGTATACTTAAAGAGAGTTTATGTAGAATACTACCCTTAAAGGTGCACGTATAAGATATGGCTGATAGACTGCTAAGAGAGCGTGGTAGGAAGCCTACAGGCAAGAACTAGGTTAATAACTTTATTAAGCGTACACTAGAGCTGCGAACGCGATGGAGCCGTCCGTATGATCACCAGCGAGCTGCCTGCGAGGACCTAGTGATTACCTAGCTATAGTTTAGCCTAGTTTAATTAACAAAGGCAAAGTATAGTATTATAGATAAGGACACCTAGAACTTTAATAAGTCTAGCTTTATAATAGGCAAGATATCCTCTTAGCTTGTTATTACAGGCTTAGAGAAACCTAGGAAATAGAAGAAACTATAACCTAGTAATTATAAGTAGGTTACCCTAGTATAAGGTGTTACTATAATAGGGTATATAATCCTACCCTTCCTTATCTTTGCAGGCAAGGTCCTTATCTCCTCCTAGTTTACTAGTCTACCTTACAACTAGGTTATCACAGTCTCTCCTACTAGCTAGACTAATAACAACATCGCGCTGGCGTGGCTTAAGCATTTTGACGTCTATACAAAGGTGTCCTCTGCTGGGGCGTATAGGCTGCTTATTATCAACAGTCATGAGAGCCACTGCTCGATAGAATTCCAGGACTACTGCAAGGAGAACAAGATTATCACTCTCTGCATGCCACCACACTCATCACACATCCTGCAGCCTCTTGACGTTGTCCCCTACTCGCTGTTAAAGCGCCACTACAGTGACAGGATCTCGCTCTTAGCACGCAGCCGCATCTACTATATTAACAAAGAAACCTTCCTCCTAGCCTTTAAAGTAGCTTTTAAGAAGATGTTTACACTAGAGAATATTTGCGCAGGGTTTTAAGGCGCTAGACTAGTCCTGCATAACCCTAAGGTTGTGTTATTAAAGCTTGATGTACAGCTGCGCACGCCAACGCCACCTGCACCAGGCACTGTTGCCTAGGAGGCGCAAACACCGCGCAACGCCCGTGAGATAGAGGCGCAATCCACGCTAATTCAAAATTGCATACAAAACTATTAAGGGTCTCTAGCAAGTTTATTAGATGAGCAGGTTAAGCAGCTAAGTAAAGGTGCTTAGTAGATAGCTTATAATATAGTGTTAGTATAGGAGGAAATAGGCTGCCTTTAAGACGCTGTTAACATGCTTACAAAGTGCAAGACCTATAAGAGGTAGTACGTATATATAGAGGAGACCCTAACAGTTAGTAAGGTATCTAACTTAATTACTAAAAAGGAGGGTAGTAGTTGTAAGGACAGCAAGACGCCTGTGAAGAGGGTGCGCGCAGAGAGGCGCTGCGGCTGTTACAGCGAGATTGGGCATAACTCCTGCACCTGCAAGGTAGAAATAGAGGATGTAGATAATAGCAATGCTTATAAATAATATTATCCTGTTACGTATATTATAGGAATTTGTGATAGTGTTGCACTACGTCGCGGTGCGTGCGCTGCGCTCGAGAAAGTGCGCCGCTCGCTTGGGTGCGCCGCTCGCTTGTGAAGCACGTTAGTGTGATATATTGTTATTATGTGCTGTAATGTTGCAAAGTAGGTGCAGTGTTGGTGTGGTCTTGGCAAAAGTGATCAGCTCGCTTGGGTGATCAGCTCGCTTGTGAGTTTCGTTATAGAAATACACTAACGTACCTCACGGGCGAGTGGCCGGCCCGGGCGAGTGACCGGACTTTGCCAAGACCACACCAAACTTCATACAACCCGCAATGTCTTAACGCAAAAAGGCTTAAAGTGTCTTAAAGGAACTAGATATATAGCTTGCTATTTAGGCTCTTAAATAAGACGTGACTCTTACTATTTTACGTGCTGTAATAATCTACAAGGTATTAGAAAGAATGCTAAGACAATAACGTGCTAGAACACTCTTAAGATGTAATTGTAAGGTTAACTTAATAAAGCTAATAAGCACTAAAGAGGAGGTAATTGTGCAGCATGTTCTAAAGCTAGATAAGTAAGGATACCCACCCTAGCTTACTAATGTAGAGGAAATAGCCAACTCTCTACTTACTAAGCGCCACTAGCCTCCTGTTGGCAAGAACTAGGCTAGCACGTTCGTTAAGCGTTGCCTAGAGCTCACAGTTAAGTTTAATTAAAAGTACAACTACAAGAGAGCCCTCTGTAATAATTCTAAGGTAATCTAGGGCTAGTTCTGCCTAGTAGAGAATACTAAAGCTAAGTATAGTATCCTAGATAAAGATACCTATAATTTTAATAAGTCTAGGTTTATAATAGGTGTTATATTAATAGGAGCTGTTGTTACAGGCTTAGAGCGTTGTGGAAGACCAAAGACAGTACAGCAGGGCGACCAAGAGTAGACTAGCATTATCTAGGGTATTAACCCTAACCAGGTTGCAGAGCTTTAAGCTGCCAATAAGGCCGCCACACGCCATAAATCACAGAAGAGTAAGCAGATATAGAGGAAGGGGACTCTTACTCTTAGTAAAGGAGTGCGCTTAACTACCCTAAAGGAGTTTAAAGCTTGTAGTAATAGGAAGAAGGTAAGCAAGAAGAGGCGTGTTAAACTAGGCACTTAGTCTTTATAACGCTGTAGTAGGTGTTAGGCTGGCGGAATGGGTATACTCCAACGTCCTTCGTGGGTACCCCCCAAAACTTTGTCAATAATACATGGATTCTAGCGAAATAGGGCTTAAAAGAAAGA